AGGACGCTCATTCAGGGGGACCGCATCAATAACGTCCACTGCCTCATCGGCATCCCCACCCCTGGCGTCGCTCCCACTATCTTGGGACACATCATCCGGCTCGCCATCAGCCCGGATGGTCCCCACCGTCGTGGCCGAACCAGAGGTTCCGGAAACACTAGTTTTTCCCAGGGAGCGCGCATTAGCATTTTCAGAAGAGGAGCCCGAGGAGGAACCCGACGAACCGGAATCAGAACTTGAGGAAATTTCCATCGAAGTCATTCCGGCTAGAAATCAGAGTAAAGGAAAGAAGCAGAGGGGGGAAATTACCTTACAAAGGTATGGTTGGCCGAATTCAGGAAACTTGAAGAGCTGCGGAAAATCGAGAGCAAGAGAGCAGAAATTGGGAACCCTAATTCAGAGGGCAAACCCAGCATTTATAGGGGAAACACCGATGGAGAAACCAACGAGGGGCTGACACGTGGCAAGGAGCGTATTCCGGCCCACGCACTGTGCGTGGGATGGGAACGTAATGATGACACTTCCTCGGGAAAATGCGCCGCCGTAACATCAGCCGTCACCTCGTTTCCTGAACCGTCAACAGCTGTCAAGCACCATGGCCACGAGCGTACGTTTCCACCAAGATGCAATGAACACAAGTACCAAGATACGGACGTCTACTTCGGGGAGGTTCATACTTCCTTATGTCCTGCGCATGCTCAGAACATCAGAAGTGGGGGACTTGTGTTGGGTTAAGGGCCCAAGCCGAGGTCCGGCCCACTAACCCATTTTGCCAGACGAGCGTCCAGCTAGAAACTAGGCCAGCCCACAGGCCCATGTTCTTTAAGGATGGACGAGCGTCTGGTGTTGGAGGACTCAGGCCCAGCAGCTCATTCCGACGAACGTCTATGCAGGGACAAGGAGCAGAGCCACGGGCCACCAGGGATGGCGACGAACGTCCCCAGAGCAAGCCTGTAGTCATCGGAGAAAACCCAGTGCACATGGTGAGTATCTATCAAGGCCAGGAGACGAACGGCCAATATCCCTCAGGGGTCACTTGGAGCAATCCAACTCACTTCCCGGGTGGACGAACGTCCCCACTGATCCGGCGGGAAACCTAGATTCTGGCGGGAAGTGCATTTAATGCTAAAGATTTGGTAGTTGGGACACCAGCGGTCCACAGGCTGCCACGTCAGTACAGCTACCTGCCCATTGGCGGGTATAAATAGAAGCATTTATTTCATTGTAAAGGGTTGGCAACTTACTATTCTTAGCATATTAGCTCCAGCATTCTTACTTGAGCATTTCTAACTGCCTTGTAAGACGAACGGCCGACGTGCCCTTTTAGCAAGTAGGTTGTACTTAGGGGAGTTATTACGAAGTTAATAATACCTATTTACATTGCCTGCTATTACTTTTGTCTCCTGATCCATCTGATAGTTGTTGGGCTAGACATTCATACACTCACTCCACTCGAAACCTTTGGGCTTACGTGTTGGGTCCACGGGTTGAAGGAATAAACCTCAACAGGAGTATTGTTTGATTTATAGTTTTAATGTGTCTTTAATTGGTCTTGTTTCGGTACCAGATCAAAGCTAGATAGACCAGACCAAACTTCGACAGTTGTAAAATATACATACAACATGCATCTACTAGATTGTTCAGACTGGACCAGACCACACTTAAACAAATTAGACAAGATCAAAAAATTATATCACAATTAGAAACACTCTTGTACCCCCAGTGATTGGCAACAACAAAGTCAAATGTCCATATTTTTCGTGACATTTTTTGTTACATTCATGTGTGATAAACACTTGATTTGTTTAAAGCGTGCTAGTCAATAGAATGTAGCAAAAAATGTATATATTCAATCTTATTAAAGTTTTGATGATGCATTGCAGAATCCACTTTACCCGCCGTAACTTGCCTATGAGGAGTGACATCCTTCCAGTTCTCCAGGTTGCAAGTCTGGGCCATGCTTTGCTTGCATTTGTCAATGGCAAATTCGCAGGTAATTATAAATATACTCACTTTCATTAGATCATCTTTGACGAAAGAAATGCACAATAGACTAGATAAGGGACGACAAATAAACACATAAAAATCATCAAGTAAACTTTTTTTGTCAATCTCTTTTATTGGTTTTTATGTGGGTGCTTTTCTACTTTCAAATACAATGTTTAAACTAGTGATTGTGGTTGACATTGTGTATAAAAAGTACCAAAATTATAAAAGCTATTGAAAGTAAGAGATATAATGCACATTTATATATAATACTTTGTGTGTGTGTGTCACAATGGGGCATTTCACTTGCTCATAATCAATCTACACGTATATATATGGTTTTTAAGATTGTAAAAGCACATATGCATACATACTCTTATAATCTTTCTTATAACACGGGTGATTTTTAGGGTTTGGTCATGGAAGCAACATTGAGAAGAGCTTTGTGTTGCAAAAGCCTATTAATTTGAAGCCCGGGATTAATCACATCTCTCTGTTGGGTCAGACAGTTGGGCTTCCGGTAAAATATTTGATCTTGAGCTGTGTTTGATTACCCAATATATGAAACATGTTTTAACATACTTACCCATAACAAAACTTTCAAGATTAAAACGTAAATTGTTTTTAATTTTCATGATTCTTTTCTGATAAAGTAAATTATTCCATGATTTAAAAGTGAGTGTCAATTTAATTTATTATACACACACACATACATACATACACACACACACATATATGCCGAAATATTAAATGTTTATAATTTTAGCTAATATATTTACGAGGAAGAAGATATCTACATAATATAAATAACACCAATAATGTGTGTTAATTTTTTACCCATGATTATGAATAAAGAATAGTGGAGCCTACATGGAGAAAAGGTATGCCGGACCAAGAGCGGTTACGCTTCAAGGTTTGATGGATGGAACTTTGGATATCACCATGAACGCCTGGTCTCATTCTGTACGTTCTTCCCTTTTAACATTATGTTCATAGACAAACTGATATATATGTCTAGATAAAATGAAATCGTGTTTTATGGCTATGAAACCTCATATTTTAATATCTAGAAGCAGAAATTTATATACTTTATGTCTTTGTTACTTTTACAAATGTCAAGTATATCCTCCTTTTTTTTCATATCCACCGGATATCAAAACTGAAACTAAAATAATGTTAGATAAATCATTGTACATGGCCAAACAACTTCTTAATTATATTTTAAGCGTGTCTGACCTATTTGTACTTTGAGCTTGAACTTTAAGAAGGAATTCAATGTCTTGGTGATTTATCTCTGATTAAATTCCACTTAACTATTACAGGTAGGTCTTTTGGGAGAAAGCCTTCGTCTATTTAACGATGATGGTGTCAACAATGTAACGTGGTATCCATTGTCAAAAACATCATCACCCCTTACTTGGTACAAGGTAATTAATTGGTGGATTCATTAGAGATCCATATAATCAATTTCACACAATAGTGTTTTTTTAATTAGCTTGTATCTTTATATTTAAATATAATGCATTCATGATGGAAACTCGTGTACAGACATACTTTGATGCACCTGAAGGCAATAACCCAGTGGCATTGAGAATGGAGAAGATGGAAAAGGGGATGATTTGGGTGAACGGGAGAAGTCTTGGTCGATATTGGGTCTCTTTCCTTTCCCCAATGGGACAACCAACCCAATCAGAATACCACGTTCCAAGAGAATTCTTGAAACCAAAGGGTAACTTATTGGTCATTTTTGAGGAAACCGGAGGAAACCCCGAGACCATTACGGTTGAGACAGTAAATCGAGACACAATATGCAGCATTGTACCGGAGTACGCTCCCCCACACGTGAAATCATGGGAGAGGACTGGGAATGAATTCCGAGCGACTGTAGAGGATTTGAGATTAGGCGTACGTCTAACTTGTACAGAAGACAAGATCATGAAGAAAATCGACTTTGCAAGCTTCGGAGATCCCGATGGCGCTTGTGGGAACTTGTACACCGGAAACTGCACCGCATCCAACACCCTAAAAGTCGTCGAGAAGGAGTGCTTGGGGAAGCGTCGGTGTACGGTTCCAGTGGATCGAAATGTATTTGTGCAGGAGGATGGCAAAGATAATTGCGCCAATATGTACAAGACACTCGCTATTCAGGCCAGGTGTGGACGAGATAGGGACTAATTATTAACTAATCATGTAAACACCTAATCATTTGCCATGAACCAATCTATGCCGCCTCTCCACCCCGAAAGTTAATGAAAAAAAATATTATCTGTTTTGTCAACCAAGCACTTTCATTTCATGAACAAGAAAAACATAGTAATCCAAACACTCGCTATAGGATAGCTTGCTTTTTTCCAAAAGGATGCATTATAGTATTCTTTAGTGACATACATGCATGTGACACAATTGCAAACGGTTGAGTATTAGAGAGCAGATAAACACACATTTGCAAAAGGAGCAATAAATCTTTGTGACATCGCATGGACTCATAGTATAATTAATGAAAAGCTACATCATTTTGGGCATCAACTTAACTTCATCTCAACAAAAACGTCTATCACTCTTTAGTAAACTCACAACGAATTAAAATACTATGAAAAGTCGAAAAGTACTCTATCAATATTCACTATTTTAGATACCAGTCTTATCTTTAAATAGAGATCTAATCTTCTGAGAATCGAAATATCATTTAATAAAAGAGAATTGAATTGCAATATATATTATTTAGGAAGTTATGTCGTATTTAGTTGACAGTATTTGCTGAACTCGAATAACCTTAGCTTTATATGTTAGAGACTCCTTGTGGATTGTGAGTCAAAAATAAGACCTTTAATCCCCTTTTCCCCCAAAATCTTGGGAGTTTTGACATATAAACCCCCTATCATTTCTTACATTTTAAACCTGTAATTAGCCTCACATTATATTTAATTGTTTTAGTAATTAGTATTCACAATCAACTTTGTTGGATAATTGATACCCATATCCTATAACTAAGGAGAGATTGAACAATAATCAAGAAAAGTAATGGAGAAGAAGAAAATGTGTAGGATGAAATAATATTTGTTATGGTTTACAAGCCTCCCATAAGGAGTATAAATAGGGAAAATCCGGGTCTGGGCCTCTAATATGGGCCTGACAGACCCCGGTTACATAAATGGACTGATAGTATAAAAAGCTAATCTAGAACATCTTAATAATAATAATGTACAATAATATGAATCCGCTAAACGTGTGTGGGCCGCTGTCCAGGCCCAGTAGTCGACAGACCGGGGGATCGGAGTCCATATACTCCATTAGGAGTCCCCCACTCCCTGAGTCGAGAGTACTCGAGGCGAAAGGGAGTAGTCCAAACTGTAGCTGCGACGTTCTTGTGTCTTTGGTTTCTTCCTCTTCGGCCGGGGGACCACCACCCTTGTCAATGATGGGGAGGTGCCTCGTTAAAAACCTTTACTAGGAAAAAACTCAGTGGGAAAAAATTCTAATAAAGGGAAAAAGAGTACACCTAGCGCCCCCAACATAAAACAAGGAAGGTAAATCTCCTCCGGCATAATCAATCTAGCTCAACTCATCTTCAACCGACTCAGCTCTCGTTCCTGCTCATGTGTGATATTTTCTGCTCTTCTAGAAACTCTGACCCCTCAGTCCCCCAGTCCCCACTCTTCGAGGCGAGTGGAGACAAGGTGAAAATGAGTAAAGTCATCTCTGTACCTACACATTTATCATACATATAAAATCTTTTTCTTGGGATTTATGTTTCCTATCGGGAGTTCGTTATTCGAAACAAGTGGAGATGTGAATTGTTAATGTAATGATTAAATACTTAGTAGAATGGATGTGTGAGCCATTCGTTAGCAACGGTCGCCACTCGAGGAATGACTAAGACCGGTCTTCGTGCCCGACTTGGTCGGGGCTTTGTGCCTGAGGAGTCTGGGCTTTGTGCCTGAGGAGTCAGGGCTTTGTGCCTGAAGAGTCAGGGCTTTAAATCCTAGTGATGGGTCTCAAGTCACACTCTACTAGGCATTTGATCATAAGTGCGTGATAGTGTGACATTCACCCGACAAAAAATGATTTAAATAAATATAAATAATACGTAGTATAAAAATTAAATAGTACTTATCTTTTGGAGTTGGTTGGGCCAAATACTTGATGTGTTGAAATTCAGCCCTATGAAAGAACTTGTCCAAAAATGGTCCGGCCCATTATTATTGATGAGAGTCAGTATTGGGCTTGACGAAGTCTTGGCCCGTATAGAATGTATCTTGACTCATCAACCAATTCTGACCCAGCTTTGTCAATAAACTTTGTCCGCCCCAAATAAACTAGAGGAGATACCCTAGAGTCCTGTTATGCTAGCTGGATTTTTTGGATTAGTTGGATATCCCACATGAGGAGATGGCAGGCAGTTCTGCAGTCTTGTTCTGTAGTCTTGTTCCCAGACCCATACTAATCGCTGGCAGGTCTTTGAGAATTGAGAAGTCTGGTCCTTCATCTCCCTCAGCTGCCATTCGGTCTAGAGTAAAGCGGAAGCATCTCTCCAGCTCTGTCCCTGGTGTCGCTGGAAAGGCATGGTATCTCACCATCGTCCAAGTTGAGGGTCGTCGTCGGATCTTGTTGTCAGTTCGGATTATCTCGCCCAGGGGTTCGGATCGCGCTGCTCCTAGTCTCGGTGAGCAGACTCTGCGAACTCGATGGCCGGCGATTCTGTGACGAGATGGCCAAGCTCGTCTTGGGGCATCCTTGACCGGCTGGTTCCTGAAGTTGCGGCGTACTGTACCCCCACCTGAAGATTGGCTTTTGGCTCGAGAACGGAGCTCCCCAACAGTCATTAATGGCGGATACCCAAAGCTCAAGGTCCAGAAGCTGAGTCAAATGATTATGAAGATGGTGACCGGGGTTCAGGTTCCGACATTCGAGCCGTGACGGAGTGCGGTTCGGTGGAGCTCGCACTGGTGCAGCGAGCTGCAGTGGATGGAGTGTGGCGGCTTCAGCTCAGACCTAGGAACGGATAATGAGCGTCAGCCGGCGGCGAGCCTCTGCTATGGGTGTTCGGCGGCGACCGGGAAGGCGATGACTTTCAAGATATATCCGGCTCCTTTGGGAAATCCCAAACTTTCAGATCTTGTTCGTTGCTTTTTTCTATTTCCAGAACACTTCTTGTTTTGAATTTTGTGATTAGGAAGAATTTTTGGTAATTTGGGGAGGTTTTCTCATTTGATTGTGTTCAACCTCTCAACGAGAGCACCATTGTTGGATAATTGATACCCATATCCTATAACTAAGGAGAGATTGAACAATAATCAAGAAAAGTAATGGAGAAGAAGAAGAAAATGTGTAGGATGAAATAATATTTGTTATGGTTTACAAGCCTCCCATAAGGAGTATATATAGAAAAAATCCGGGTTTGTGCCTCTCATATGGGCCTGACAGACCCGGTTACATAAATGGACTGATAGTATAAAAACCTAATCTAGAACATCTTAATAATAATAATGTACAATAATATGAATCCGTTAAACGTGTGTGGGCCGCTGTCCAGGCCCAGTAGTCGGCAGGCCGGGGGATCGGAGTCCATATACTCCATCAAACTTCTTAAGCTTTTATAAAATATATAAATTAGAGTTGATTATCCTTGAATTTTTAAAACACTAAACTATATATTCATTGAAAATAATTCTATTGTTGAAACCATATAAAATAATAGTAATATTAAAATAAGGAGTACAATATCCCAGCAACAATTGCAAGAATTGAAATTTACCTTGCTTTAAATATTTAGAAATATATAATATATAATATGGTTTGTTTGGGAAATACCAAATCCATATATTTAAATAAGAAATATATAATTAGTGAACAAAAAATAGACCCAACAATATATTCTTCAGATGTATTTACTAAGGCGTATAAATGTATGATTATACGAAATGTATGATTAAAAAAAAAAAAAAAAAACAATCTCCTCTCTGTTGGTTTGCAAAATTGGTCAGTACTCTTCAATCTTATGCCAACTATTCCCTATGTACCCGCAATCGGGGTGTCATTCAGCCCAACGGTCTTGTTTAAGTGGATGACTTAATTATCTATGGGAATGATAATGATGGAATACTTCATTTTAAGTTCTATCTCAATACCCTTTTTCATATGAAAGACTTCGGGACCCTTCAATATTTACTTGGTATTGATATGGCTCGTTGCCCCTCGGGACTTTTTCTTACTCAACGAAAGTACACTGGATATTATATCTAAAACCGGTCTTTTAGGGGCTAAATTGGCGGCTTTCAGATTGAACAAAATCATTCTCTAGCCAGCATTGATGAGCATTTACTTGCAAATCTGGAGCCGTACCGCCGACTACACGATCGCCTAATTTATCTGGTTGTAACTTGTCTTGACGACTTGGCCTAATATGTTCATATTTTATCTAGGGCTTCACATCGGGGGGTTGAGTCGGGTTTGCTATATTTTTTGGGCCTACCCAATTTGTTCGGCTTGACTATTAACCGACCCGCGGTACCGCAAAATAAGTTGGTAAACCATACTTGAACAGTTGAACGGGTCGGGTCTGGTATTGAAAAAAATCACTTCGAGTTGTGATATGCACTAATTAGTAGTGCATAAATGTATCTTTTTATGTTTGATTTGTGTGGATTGTTTATCGTTTTATTTAGTTTGTAAACATTTGTGTGATTTTAGTTGTAATTGTATTTTAATCTTCATTTATAAGTTGTAAAGTAGAATTAGGAATTATGGTGTTGAAAAGGAGGACTTTGAAGTGAAGAAAAAGGAGATTGGACTGTCCAGGAGCTAAAACCCGACCGGGCATAACACTTGACCCGGTCGGGTAAGATTTAACAGACGAAGGTGGATGGAAATTACACAGACCCGGTCGGGTCTGACTTGACCCGGGACATTTTAACGTGCTAAAACACAAGAACGTGGAAGATTATCTGATTTGGACATGCACCCGGTCGGGTGGGCACTTGACCCGGTCGGGTACCCCGCCCAAGGTGTTGAAAAACACCTATAAATAGCACACTTTTCCTTCACAAATAATCATCCCTTCTTCCATACTCTTAAGCTCAGTTTAGAATAGCATTTCTTTTATATTTTTATAGCATGTTTAGTCTCCAAATGAGGAGCTAAACTTCCATTTCTTGGTGTTGCTCTTGAAGCTTGTTGATTATTAAAGTTGTGAGTTATTTTCTTAACTTCTTTTCTTGAATATTAATTCATCCTTTAAATACTATTTCTATATCAATGTTGGGGAGTGTTACTAAGATGACAATTAGTTAACATCTTGACATTGGTTATAGTAATACTTATTTCTTCCTCTATGTTAATATTGGGGAGTGTTACTAAGATGACAATTAGTTAACATCTTGATATTAACCATAGTAGGATTCATCTTCTTTAATATTCTTCCTTGAGTATTAATTAATTCCTATTCATATTTCATATTAATATTTTGAACATTACTTAAAGGATCAACTAGTTTTGTTTCATATATTAATTATTACTAGAAACGATCAACGAACCGATGGTTAATCGTTGATGATTTCACAAGTAAGTAACTTCGGTTTATTAATGCACGGTCGTGGTTAATAAACTTAAGAGGGATTAATTTTGTTTGTTAAACCGAAATCATTGTGTTGAGGTTATCAATCTCAATTGATTTCATCAAGGCGTTAAGAGATTAAATGCTACTATCAAGTCGGTATATGGCGGTGTTCTATACTTGACTAATAGTAAGGGTTATTAATGAACGGTCGTTGTTAATAACTACCCTCGAAGAATTGGATATACTCCTCGATTGAGTATTTGAGAGGGGATAAGTTATAGATATAATAATGATCGACTAAAATATATCAACAAGTGGAAAGTAGCAATGCCAAGTCCTTTTTATCTTTGAATTAAATCACATATAAGTCGTTCATCTTCGTGTTTAATTTTAATTAAATCATTCAATCCCAAAACCCCCCTTTTATTTACTAGTTTTGTAAAAAGAGAATTATTTCCTTTCCCTGTGGATACGAACTCTACTTCACTATACTACGTATTAGTGCTAGTATTGAATATTATTTTGACGCACCGTGACAAAGTGCACGTCAAGTTGCATCTTTCATGTGGGAAATCAATGTAACCAATTTGAAACTTGATTCAATTGTTTCAAAAACACACAAACAAATACAAGTACTCGTATCTTTTATAAGCAAATACATTAGGTAATAGTATTAAAACATCCTTCCATAAAGGAAGTTCATTTAAAAGGAAACGTTAGTATATAATAATCATCTAGTCAAAATGGAAAATGTTTAATTATAGGTCTAATATCATAAAGTCCTAGGTAGAGCACATTGATCTTAAATTGAAATTATCCAAAAAAAAACATTGTAGCATAATAATTGTAAAATGAACTTTCGGCCGGGTCGGCAGTATTGGGGTTTAGATTTTAATTCTACAACCCTACCCATTAGGTGCGGGTTGATACATATTTAACCCATGAATATTTTTCTAAATCAAATACCCGAGTAAATGGGGTCGGGTAGGGTTGGGTCGGGCGGGTTCAGGTTTTTCTGGTGCAGCCCTAATTTTATCACAGTTTATGCAAGCACCATGTCAAGCTCATTGGGACGCCGACCTTAGGGTGGAACGGTATCTTAAAAGTTCTCAGGGTTAGGGTATTCTTCTTCAGGCTGATAGTTACATTTCACTAACAGGGCAGTGTGATTCTGACTGGTTTGCTTGTCCTATCACCCAAAGATCTTTGTCTGGTTGGTTAGTCTATCATGGCCACTCACCGGTTTCCTAGAAAACTAAAAATCAGTTTATTGTTTCCCGATCCTCTGCCAAAGTGGAGTACCAGAAGAATTAGTGCATGTTTGGTAGGATAAGTGATGTGAGTTTTCTCGCACTTAAAATAAATGTAGCAGTATAGGGTATAAGTGCGAGTATCGTCTCCAAAGGAACGAAAAAAGGGAATTAAATATTAAATAGTTTCAGCGATTTAAAAATGCGATGTGTGAGATTTGTTTTTAGGGAAAAAACAATTAATGCGAAAACAAAGCTAAATTAAAGGTTGTTTGTAATTAATGACGGAAGTGAACAAGTATTGATCGATTCTGGGGGTAACCAGATTTCGAGGCTATTTTTTTTTACCACAGTGGGCGTCAGGGGGAGGGAGATTTGGGGGTCTGGGGTAAACTGAGATCAATCTCACTCAGATCCATTGAGAATTTAATCAGGGACCTCCCATAAGGGAGAGTAAGTCGGCCACCAGCTGTGCAGGATTAATTACAAGAAAATTATTTAATTGAGCAATGCATGTCAATACTAAGTTCTTACCGCTCTCGCGGCGTAGAGTACAATTATTCAGAGAACCAAGTTGATCTCTCATGCGACATGTTTCTAAACTAATTCCAAAACGATCGAGCATACGACTCCCTAATCGTTATTAATCTCTTAACGAATGATTAAGTGTGTGTGAAAGTGTCCTAGAATAATTTACATCTCTCTGAAATAATTCTATGTGCAATTATAATCCTAGTGGCCATATAAAAGATATCAATTAAATTATTCAAACACAAATTAAATAAATAATCATGCATTCAAACCCTCAAGAACGAACCCTAGACCCTGATTAATAGTCCCTTCATCAATCCCAAAAACCTAATTAAATCTACTCATCACAATTCTTAATTGAAAGATCAACAAGATTGAGAAGGAAAGAATTAATTGCTTAAAAATAATCCCAAAATCTTGGTTATATGAATTACTGATGAAAATCTCATCCCTAGAATTTCTTGCCCCTAAGCTTATGTCAACAACTGATAAAAATGGGTTGTTTCAATAGAAAACTGCTAAAAGTGGTCGAACTTGGCTCCGGGTGGTCGCTCGCACAGAGTGCAGACGACGGTGTGGACCTCCTCAAAAATCCGTCATCACAATCCTTCGGCCAGACCTTCGCGCGGTCGGACTGCGCGGACCTTCCTGCAAGCATGTTTTGACCCGCACGGCCCGCGGACATGCGCGCACATCGTACGCGTCAGAGAATTAATTGTATGCTCTCTGATTCATTCGCGCGGCATGCGGCCAACGTGTGCACGACGTTCGGACCTCTTTTAGACCATTTTCTTTCTCTTTTCTTCCTCGATTGATTCCGATCGACCCCACATTCAGTTTTTGACTTCTTTTGACTCTAAAATTGCTCCTTAATCCCCCCCCCCCCCTTGAATTTTCGATGCCTCTTGTCAACTCTCGAACATGTCCCAAATCTTACCAAATTAATTTCCAACGCCGATGCCGGGCTCAAACTCCTGATTTTAACTATAAAAAACAACCAAAGCAAACCAAAAACCCGGTAAGTTGTG